TGTACTTTTAACCACTAAACTTCATTAGGTTATTAGATTTGCTCTTGTTGTATTAGCCTTAATCAAGCATTAGCTAGAAAACTATATTCAGCTGAGCTCGTATTTATCTTCCCTTTCAGTAGTCCCTAATTTTCACATATTTGTGCTTCGTATTTCTCACACAAAACATCTAAAAAATAAGACCGTCTTCACTAAAGATTCATTTCACTTGCTGAATTAAAGAAATAACATTAATGCTGCTCTTACTTTTAATCAATGATGTGTGATAACCTGTTTTAGTGGCTAGTTCTGCTACTCAAGCAAGCAGAAGTAAATGATTCCCATTTTGCCTATCATTGTAAAAATGCAACATGGTTTTTAAAGTCTTTAACAGCAATATCCTAAAAGCCCACCAGATGTCAACCTCAGTTCATGAAAACAGGACATTTCCTACCTTGTAACACTCCATTCTTTCTATAATGAAACACGGGATTTGAAATTTTGAAAATGCCTATGCTTCTAAACTATATGTAGGAATTTTTTTAATTTTTTTGTTTATTTATTATTGAGAGAGAGTACCAGTGAGGGAAGGGCAGAGAGAGAAGGGGACAGAGAGAATCCCAAGTAGGCTCAGTGCCACCAGCACAGAGCCTTATGTGGGGCTCAATCTCAGGAACCCAGTCAGGAGATCATGACCTGAGCTGAAATCAAGAGTCAGACGCTTAACCAACTGAGCCACCCAGGCACCTATTGGAATTTTTAATTATATGGCACATGTGTTATGTTTTTCAACATAAAAAGAAAAGTGTAACAGTAACATGTAAAACAGCCCCAGAGACAGAAAGAGAGAGAAAAGTATAAATATACAAATTCTACATTTGCCTCTCAGGGTCTGTAGAAAACACCAAAACTGTATTTCTGACTCTTCTGACTTTACACCATTCTCCTCCATCTTCCTATACTATAACTCACATTTCCTTGACTTAAATGAATTAATACTATTATCTCACACAAGGCATGAAATCTAATTTTTGAAAATTAGTAAATAAATTAAAAACAATTTTTCTTTATGATTAAACAGTGCTGTCCATGGTATCCATTCCAAGGCTGACCATTAACTTAAATAAACTTGAAAATAATTCCCATTTATAAAACCATTGACTAATAAAGTTGATAATCTTCATTTACACTGGAACAAAAATGTCAGATACTCTGCATGGCTGTTCCAAAGTAGTTATTAAACCAAAAAAAAAAAAAATTACTGATTTTTTCCCTACATTTTCAGCCTGGTGGTTTTTATGTGTATCAATTCTTTTGAGATTCACTGATCATCCAAGAATGGTATTTAATTTCTTTGATCAGTGCCCTACTGCCCATATTTTAACATCACTGAATTTTTGGTCCATTGCGTAGAAGAATTTCTCTACTAATAAAAATGCAACCCATTAAAGATTAACTTGCCCCCAGGACAGTCTCTCTAGAAACAAATTCCAAGCATTATAATCACCAATTTGCACTATGTAGACTTAAAGACAGATCATCTTATTTATCCTGATTTGAACTGGAATTCTACACATTATTTTAAGGCAATTATGGAAAGAAAAATGGCAAACCAAATTCACAATAATGAGAAATCCAACCAGACAAATACTAATTTGGAACTTTCCAAATGAAAAGTTTTACACCCAAGAATATCTAACAATATTCGAATACTTGTTGACTTACCAAACTTCCTATCTTGGTGTATATTTTACTTCTACAATATGAAATTGCACTACAGGTCAGAAATTATAACAGGTGCTGGAAATCTTTTGAATCCATGCTGTAATACTTACTATTAATAAAAATAAAAGCAACTAATCTATATTAAGCTCTTATTTACCAACAGTGTGGCAAGTTTTTAGCTTATCAGGCATATCTCTTTTAATTCTCATAGTACCTACCGTAAAAGAAATACTAATTATCAGTCCCATTTAGAGATGAGCAAATTGAGACAAAGGCAAGCCCAGGAACTGTCCCAAGGTCTGTGGGATTCGAATCTAGGTTTGAGTGATTCTACTGCCCACTCTTGCTATAATCATCTGGTTTAAAACAAAGAGACACAGGATTATGTTTTGTTCAGAAAACCAGTCTTACTCCTTCAAACACAGTAGTTCTACATAATTTAACACTAGGAAGCATGCATCACAAAATGCCTTGGTACACTGTGCACTAGGTTCTATTGTCAAACGTGTTCAAAATTTACTTTCTCGGAATGCATAATCCACTTCTTGATGATTTCTAGGAAGCTAATCAAAGCGCTATGTTCAAGCATTAAAGAATTCTTTGGGGCTGAAATGTAAATATTTCATTATATACAGATTGTTGAATAAATATTAACTCTTTTAGGACTTTCTATAAAAGAAACTATCTCTGTGAAGCAATTTTAAACCATCTCATGTCAGAATATATCTACAAGGGGATAGCCTTCAAATTTAAGAAATGTATCACCCATATTTCATTTTATTCAAAATGAGAAAATTAATTTATTCAAAAAAGAAACCCACTTCTAGCCAGGGTGGCTCAGTCACTTAAGCGACCAACACTCGATCTTGGCTCAGGTCATGATGCCAGGGTCACAGGATGGAGCCCGGAGTTTGGCTCTGCACAAAGCATGGAGCCTGCTTAAGATTCATTCTTTTTCGCTCTCTCTGCCACTCTCCCCTCCTCTCCCCCCACCCACCCTGCTCTTTCACGCTCTCAAAAAAAAA